TCCATCGAATAAACAAATCTTTTACGGACAATAATAAACGTTTTTACAACGAAAACCGATACAACGATCAAAATATATCAGTTGCTAAATTCAACAAAAATGTAAAGCAACGTTTCTGTATTAAATGTTACATGATATTTTAATTTGAATTAAAAAAGTTATATAATGCTTTACGTTTTGTTTAATTCAATTTCTTGTTTCAAGTTTTAAAATAAATTTAGCCATGGGTACATAGAATTAATTTATGTCGTAACGAAAATATAAATTCCCATTAATGACGCCTGTTTATCTGTATTTTTCAAGTCCAAGTATCCTAATTTATTTTAATTATAACTTGGAACATTGATTAAAAATTGCAGAACTGTTTTCATGTCTGTTACATAATGAGGTACACATCCTGGAAATCGTAATTATTTATAATCGCATTTTACCACCCAGCAACGACATTCCATTCTCAAGAGATTGCTCATTCCGTGCTACGTGCCGTCGCCCGTAATCCCACGGATACGAAGTGGTTGCGCAACACAGGTGTTGGTCACCGGGACCGTCCGAAGCATCGCAGCGAGCGTCACTTTTGTCTCTCACATCGAGCAACTGTCACCTCACTTAGAAATGTAAATAACTTGTAATTTTTATATAATAAAATAAGTAGTTTTAAGTTTAACTTTGCATTTTTTTTGCATCCTCCGGCCGCAGCCTTCGTCATTTGTCCTCTAAGATAATAATAATGAAACTTTTCAAACACAAATCTATTTCGCTTTTAAATCCCTTGGCTGCCGACAAAATGAGGGCTCATTTTTGTTTCATATTATTTTAGTTTAACAATAATATAATTAAACAGAGACATGTTAAATAACCCGTTTCCATTTCAAAACATTCCGTCTCATCCGAAAAATGTTGGTACGAAAACTACAAAACATTCGTTTCTTGCTATAACCCTAATTAACGACCCCTGAAACATTTATAGCATCGTTAAAGCTGATTAAAAGCTAGTTTATAGCTGACGGCTCTTCTTGCGTACAATTTCTCTGACCGATGCATTGGGTCAATCCTTGGGGTTTAACAAACGAATGCAACGACTGGCGCGTCTTTGAAGTAACTCGGTTGAACCGAATACAGAGCGAACGTCTTACTACAAGTGTTTATGCCATGGCTTATGTTACGACCCAGTTGTTTCAAAATGACACAGCCTGCATTGTTCCTTGTAAATGGTGTCATCGAGATTAGGTCTGACGTCACGGAAAGACGTCTGATGAGTATAGTAACGTCCAAATCAAAGTTACGGCTTCTTGTCATCTCGAGGTATCTCTGCTATCAGGTGTGTGCGATATTATATACATATATACAGCGTGTCTTTCCATCGCTACAATAAATGAACACACATATAGAGGATAACTTTTTAAAATTATATTAAACATTCACATTCTTTAAACATCAATATTTACAGAGTTATTAAATTTTCCAAAACAAAGAATTTTAGAACACCCTTACGTATAAAACTGTAATGTAAAGGTCACAAAGCATATGAATGGGTTAAATGAATTTAAAAGAGACAAAACATACTGTTAAAAGGAGAGGCTTGTAATGCGGCGCTGTGGCAACGAATGAAAAAGTTTCTGAATCAGTCGATATATATATATTCTTCGTAGATAATTCTAGGAAGCGATAATGCTTACAAGATGCTGCAAGTGTACGTTACTGAAATTTAAGACTGAGATCAAATCGCTTTTCGACTACTGCATTATTTTACTGCTTGTTCTGACTGTACGTGCGATAATTAGTTTTACATCTTAACTCCTCTCCAGTCTGCTATGCAGTTAAGTTTAAAACCTATTAGTTTCCTTAACAGCCCATTCAAATGTCTCAATCTACTCCTTACGCGTGGTGTTTATCTAATCAACGACGCGGGGTGTCCCGTGTGATTTATTTTGAGAATCTACTTAGTGTTTAGTGCATTACTTTGGATCGTTTCTCATGGCGTGGTACGTTAATGAGTACGCCGCATTCCTTTATCCCAAAGGCGTACGCTGGGAAAGTTAGCGGCGTCTAAAATGAGCTCAATAAATCAACGAAGCGCACGCCGTGACGGACGGACAGAAATACGCGCCGTGATTAATATAAAGCCAACAACGCCGCCCCGACAATGGAGCTGAGCTTTCTGACGACGCATCAACGCTTCCCTTGATTCAGACAATGCTGTGGCAAATATAGTGTCACGCGATTCCAATATTGGGGAATTTCGCAACCACCTATTCAATACGGTCGATCACGATTTATAGATTTCTTAGGTGTTTTTGTTCTTTGATATATGGTGATAGCTCAATGTCCGGGCGCTCACATTTAATTATATGTACTCGAGCAACCTGTATTCGATCCCCATAGTGGCACCAATGAAATTGTTAATATTAAGTGCTGACTTATCACATGAAGAAAACATCGTGAAGAAACCGGAATGACCTCTATGTGGTGGGTTTAATAACATAGTGTACAGTATAGCCCCGACGTATTCGACTATTAAAAAAAAATTAACACGCTAATAAAATATTAATATTTGGGGAACAGCATCTAAGAATGAATACGTGTATCCCGTTATATAAATGCTCGCACGTGTTATAAAATTATCGTTTACTATACACGTTTCAAGAAAGCGCGGCAAACGAGTCGCAAACGTTCATAAAAAATTTGAAGTTTTCCAAACGGCCGTACTGTACGTACAAGGGTAACATAAATCACGAGTCCTAATTTCGTTGGTACGCAAAAAGGGGGTCCATTATCGATAAATACAAAATAACACCGCGCGGGAAGGTTAACGAATAAACAGGCGGGGGAGCACCTGAGATTTCTCGAAGTTTGGGTAAACCAAGCAGCGAACTCGCAAAAATCTCCGCGAGTCGAACTGCCGGGAAGATACTTAAAGGGAACTTGTTATAGAAGTCGGATAAAGTGAACCTTTTGTTTGCACGCGGCAATTATAGTTTTATTGCGATACAAGTAACTATGTTGGGCGCGGAGAAAAGATGTTTTGCTCCGCGCTATTTAAAGGAGTTATGGCGCGTTTAATTTATACTCAGCTTCGTGGATCTCAACTCTTTGGCGTGTTAGGTTAATTTTAGTTTTATTGTTTTACTTAATGATTTCGGAAGTTTTCTATGAATACTCCATACAAATTGGTAATGAGTCGTTCCTTTTGTAAATAATGTGTTATATTATGTCTTGTTGATGTTTATTACTAAACAAATATTTAAATATTGATAGAAATATGTAACACTATGAAATTAGTGACTATTTTTTTTTTTTTTTTTTTTATGGGAATAGGAGGCAAACGAGCATGCGGGTCACCTGATGATAAGCGATCACCGCAGCCCATGGACATTTGCAACATCGGTTGAGTCGCAATTGCGTTGCCGGCCTTTAAGGAAGGAATAGGCTCTCTTCTTGAAGGACTAGCACTATGTACAGATTGTTAATTTTGAATGATGGAGACGAACCCGTTAAGCCTCAGCAGTTGTAGATGTGGTTGTTGATGTGGTGGTTCAATCCCTAAACATCAAGTCTACCGCTTGCTCACCTACCAACTTCACGTCGTTGCGATAATGTGACGCTGTCAATCAGCAATTCTCATGGATTTAAAATGCCCAAGCTGTGACAATGACCAAAATATCAAAATATCTAAATTATACAGTGAAGTATAAACTATAGAAACCAAGCTCTCGTCGTCAATTTCTGAGCAGAAAAATATAGATAGATATTATCCATTTTAACAAAGGTTATTTATTAATCAACGTCATGGTGATGAACTTACCGCCCCACAGTAGACACGAATGTGTGGACAGTGATTGTGCTCGTAATTAATCCCAAACACATTAATCTGTGCGCTCCGTTGCGATTATAATTCACATTAACTTTGTCCGTATGTTTATCTGGTTAGTTGCCTTTAACTTATTTAAATGTGAAAAGTTATCAAGCGAATGGATGGTTCACCTGATGTTAAGTGATTACCGGGTTGCAGATGCGTTAACTTTTAAAATACAATTAAAAGACAACCTTTTATTATGTCACTCATAATATTGCATTGTCAAACGTGCAAAATTTCAACTCAATCGGTAACCGGGAAGTGGATCAAATTTAATTTGCAATATTTGATGACAAACATCGGGACAGGTGAAACTAAATAAAAGCTTGTTATAAATGAGCCCCGGCTACCTGACTCACTAGACGAAATGCGAAAGTATTGTATATTCAATTCACGCCGGTCTTCTGTGTGGCCGTAATACTTACCCGGACGAGCCTGTCCATTCGTGCAACAGCCGACACTGCTGCGTGGCTCTACCACAGCCTGTGAACCACTACTCTCCTTTACATACATTTTCGGTACGGAAATTCGACATAACCAAGTTTCCAATTTCGGTTACGACACATGTAACTCACTGGTTTTGGGAACAATAATAATATAATGAGTATATAATCTAAAATACAAATAAATAATTCTAATAAGAAGTGAGATTAACTCAAAATGAAACAAAACCAACCAACCAACCATCCTTACTCCTGCGCCAGAGGGTGTGGGTTCGATCCCCACTACTGGAAAAAGATTGTGAGATGAACATAGTATTTTTCTAGTGTCTGGGTGTTTATATATCTATAATATGTATTTATTTACAAAAGAAAAGTATGTTTAAGTATGTTTATCAGTTTTCTAGTACCCATAGTACAAGCGTTGCTTAGTTTGGGACTAGAAAATGTTGTGTAAAAATGTGTCCTAAAATATTTATTATTTATTATTATTATTATCAAAACCCAGTCCGTCATTTACTACACACGGATATCGATAGCGTTCGACTATTAACGTTGAAAGCTTTTTAGTGGTGTCGATCTGAGTGCATCTGCGTACGTTTCGAGCATGGAGCAATTAGAGCGTCGTCGTTGCGCGAGGGCATAAATCTATACGGGCGACTTTATTGCTCAGCGGTGCGGAGTCTCGAGCGACGTCTGACGTCTTAATGCTCGAGAAGCGAGTCGCGGGGCACAGCGCGATTCATTTGCGGCGGCCGCGATAATTGCTCTATAAATACACCGCCGAAGCGGCCCCGCACGAGCGCCGGAGAAGAATGGGCATACTCCGCACGGGAATAGCTCAGCTCGGCTGCACAGCGGTCGCAAACTCGGCTTACGTTCAACGTAATGCTCTTCAAGCGAAGCCCACGCGGGGATTGCGCGAGGGAGGTTATAGGTTTGTTTTTGCCGTTTTGTTACTTAGGTGGATAGTATGTAAATTTGGTAACGTTGTCGGAAAATATATTGAAGCACCGATACAAACCTCGATCGGGAATAATGGATATTTATGAAAAGCTGAAGTAGTACGTAAAAGTGGGGCTTCATTAAAACGAAAATCTTTACAAAATGCGTTAAAGACGGTCTACCGTTGGGACCGATAAAACTTTAATCAAGACTGCAATCGAAAATGTTGAAGGAGATAGTCTTTAATCATGCCGTAATGTATTTTTTTTATATACGGGGAGGCTTTTCTAAGTGTATCCATATTTTTCATTAAATTCTAGACATAAATTATGTTACATAAATACGGTAATTATTTAAAATCACTAGTTATTAATTAAATACATTCATTTGAACTTATCTCAAAAACTGTGTGATTTATGGGCAACTCATTTATTTTACGCGGGATCATTCATAACTAACACGCACACAAGTTCGTTTCAAAAGTATACGACGTATTTATGAATGACTACCGCATTGTCAATAAGTTCTGTTTTTTAGGGAAATAAAATGGCCACGTTTATTGAAATAAAAAAAAGTTTGTTTTTATTTCAATAAACAATTATACTACCGAGTCTGAACTTCCTGTGTAAATTCTGGCACCTTTAGAAAAGCCATTCTGTATAAAATCTAATAATTCAAAAACTTTTCAGAAGAACGTACTGAAATTAACTAAATTTCTACAATATTTAGAGAATTTTGACACAAATGTTTTAAGCAGCGTTCATTGACAAGAAAATGCATCACGACAAAATACCAGACAAAAGCATACGTTGTAAGAACGTTCATCTTAATATACGAACTTATGTCCCTATCGTTTTGGAATTCTACAAACTACATTCAAGAGAAAATTCCTTCGTTGTGTATCAAGGAGAATCTTAACTAACAGAGTTACTAGACGAAAAGTTTGAGAAACAGCTACGATTTACAATATGATACATCGTGTAAGTTTGAATTACAAACATTTTTACTTTTTTATGGGTATCAACTTTTGGTGTGCCCGGAATGAATTCTAATCCCTGTTTAATCTTTCTGTAATCCTAATATCTAACTAATAAAATATGTTTGTTTCCCTAAAAGAGATGTGATAAATCATGTTTGTTTTGTTTAATTTGATCTAGTGCCTTGCACGTTGATGTTGTTTTTCCTTCGACAACTTAAATGAGCGTAAATCGAGTATTCTAACTGAATTTTTATATTCCTATATTTACTACGTTTTTTTTACTTTAACAAAAATAAAGGTGCAGCATAGACTTGGTGCACCGTCTTCCGTAATCCCCTATTTCACTCAAGCCATTCTATGTTCAAATCCTGTTAACAAAAATGTATATTTACCCAAGCAAATACCAGTATATGGTACAGATGAGCATAAAGATGAGAGGGAGTGTAGCACAGCTGCCGGCTGCAATAAAGCCCACGATGCACTGTAATGGGCGAAATCAAAACTTGTCCCGGGGCGGCACTGCGCTGTTATTGCGCGCTTTACATTGTTTCCGGGACTGTGCCGGCCGGCTGGTGACGTCATAGTTCCGGAAACATTCGACGTCGTGCTAACTCCGTACTTCATTCGGACGAACTTCTCCATTGTTCAAATGACATCACGAAACAGCGGTAAGAGACGACAACAGAATCAGAAGGAGCAATCATTATTAAGTACCGCTAGAAGTTTTCTTTATTTTCGGTGTGTAATTGTTAATTTTAAGTGCTGAATTATCACGTGCTCGTCGGTGAAGGAAAACATCGTGAGGAAACCTGAATATTTTTGAAACAATAATAAAAAAAAAATATTTCGAAAAATGTGAAGTCCGCCAAACCGCAGTGGACTCGCATGGTGGACTATGCCCTGATACCCTCTTTACAGCCTTTGCCCAGCAGTGGGACATTTATAGGCTGTTACTTTACTTTTTTTATTACTTTAAGTTCACTTCACTACTTTAACGGTGGTAGGGCCACGCAGCAGCCTCGGCTGTTGCACCAATGGGCAGGCCCGTCCGGGTAAGTACCAAGATCTCACAGAAGACCAGCGTAAAGTGGAAGTATCACAAATTCTTTCACGTTTCGTCTGGTGAGTGAGGAAGCCGGGGCCCAATTTTCAAAAGGTTGTCAACGCATCTGTAACCCTCGGGTGTGGCAGATGTCCATAGGCGGCGGTATTCACTTAACATCGGGTGAACCGTCTGCTCGTTTGATAACTTTACGCATAAAAGAAATACTTTCCGTTATCAGAGCTTAGGTCACGCGGAAATAATTTCTAGTGAATAAGATGATTACACCTTGTAATACCTTATATTTAAAGTATACATAGGTACACGTGTTATTCATCTTTTATAGTGACACGTGAAAAGTGTGTCATTCCAACGTCAGCTATTTACAACATAAGGCGTGCCACAAAAATGTCGCCGGGTTAACGAACTAAACTTACAATTCTGGTGCCAAAATTTACTGTAAAGAACACTCGCTTGGCTTTGATTTATTTGCCGAGCCGAGGACAGCGCGAGACAGTAGACTGGAAGTACGAGAAAATAGTATGGTTCGTAAATTTAACGCATGCCAGATTTTTGCAGGCATTCTCACAGTGCTAGTATTTATTAATAAATATATTAAATGGCCTTGACAGTTTTCTATTGGGGCGATCGCCTCTAACTCGCTGAACTCAAGCGACCTGGCTTAATGAGTCACAGCCTTTCTTTTAATTGGAGCGATTTACCTGTCTTCGATTTTTTCCTTCTATTAAAGCGTGTTTTCTTTTCTTTTATAACAGTTTTTAGGGATTTACATGCTACTAATAATATGATAAAACATAAATTGTAAATTGGCATATAAAGTATTAAATGTATATATAAACATATATACTTTAGAAAGATTTATAATGACGTATGCACTTATACCTAGTAACCTTGCAGATTTGAAGGGTTTTTCGGCTGAAAAGATTTATCTTTTATTATTTATTTATTTATTCATGTATTTATTGTAGACAAAACAAAGGATACAAAAAAATATAAGTAATGTACAAAAGGTAAGCTTACCTCAATGCATGAGTTCTCTGCAAGCTAACCTGATGGGAAAAATATGTGATTGAAGGTAGCTGGAAATGTTTTTATTGCACAGAGATATTTCTTTAACATACCATACATAAATATATATATATTAATATAAATACATAAATATATCTATACACATAATATATTACATACACTTAATATATATTAAATAAAGATAGGAACCAAGATATATACATGAAGGTACTACATGAAGAAAAATACTTTATGTAGATAAATAAAATTTCCTTGCTCTTTTAATCTTACATTTGTACATGTTTTTGTAAAGCTTTCTAATTGATTTTCGTTTAAAACAATAGTACCCGGAGGACCGAGCTTTGCTCGGTTTGTTTGTTTTTGGTAAATCGTGTATTTTGGAAATTAAATTTAGATACAAATTACTGAGTAATGAAATATGCATAATATTTTTCGATCTTACCGACGTAATAATAAGAAAATATGAACTGATGTTTTTCACAAAAGAAAGAACTTTAAAAAAAAAGGGAAAAAAATAACAAAATAACAATTCGACAAAAAATTAAAAATATAGAAAGGAATGATCTGGAATCGAAAAAAAAAAGTAAAAAAATAAATGTGTAAATGATCGTGACGCGAACCACGGCCGTCTGTTTTGGGGCCGCCCGATTACCGACCGAGCTATTATGACATTTTCTCTTGCGGCGAAATTTACCGTCATATTCGAATTATATTTTTCATTCCCTGAAAACAGGGATAAAAGGACATTTTCTACAAATGAAACCTAGCTCGATCGATTTTTCGCCCCCGAATCTATGCACATACTAAATTTCATGAAAATCGCTGGAGCCGTTTCCGAGATTCCGATTTTATATATATACAAGAATTGCTCGTTTAAAGGATAAGAGATAAAAAACAGGTCACCAAAATTCTATTAACGCCCGGTTTCTGAAATACTTATCTTCGTAGAAATCAACTAATCAGCAGTTTTAAAACGTAATTTTCATTATAATTTATTTCATTAAAAGTGTGAATTTTTACGGTTTTTTTTTACGGCGACTGTAATGTGCGTCTGACATGCCTAATATTTATTAATACATGAATAAATACAGTAATCTTCCCCGGTTGAACCATTTGGAACTAATTTCTTTATAGATTAAAACGCAATTCAATACTATTCGCTATATGATCTCCGCTGGGCTAGGCGAGAAATTTCAATTTTCCGCCTAGCGCGCCAGACATGCGGGCAATACTGAAAACGCAAGTGGCGCCGTAAACGCAGCCGTTTCTAGGTTATGCTTTAGAAATATCGCCTTTAATGATATAGAATAGTAACTATTTTACATTGTAACGCTTATGCGGTGCCAGCTGATGAGACAATAAAGATTATTTGTTACAGATTTCTTACATTATTATAAAATCAGATGTTTAGAACGTGATATTAAGGTAACTATTTCTTACTTGCCAGCACTTTTTCTTTTCGAGTTTCCTTTTAACAAGTTGTTCATGATAAAATTGGGAATTCTATACTGATCTAAATTTTTCATCAGATCAGATAAATTTTTTATAATACTAACTTTTATTTATTAAAAAAGTTTTAATACATAACACAAGTAATAAAGCCGTTTAAGACATTAAATAAATTTATTCCCAAAAAGACAATACAATGCCACTTACATGAGAATATTATACAATTATACAGCGTGTCGCTACTAACGCGACCATAAATCAATACACATTTAGACGAAAACTTATTAAAATTGTATTAATCATTTACATTCTTTTAACATCAATATTTATCTAGTTATTGAATTTTCCAAAACAAACAATTTTAGAACTTACGTATAAAACTGTAACGTGAAGTTCATTTGTAAAGGTCACAAAGCATATGAATGGGTTGAAGGAATTTGAAAGAGATAAAACATACTGTTCGAAGGAGAGATTTGTAATGCAACGCTACGGCAACGAATGAAAATGTGTCTGAATGTATGAATCAGTCAGTTGTAGTTGTTACAAATTTTGTTTCTTTTTATATGTAATTATTTTGTTTTGTTTAGTTTGTTTGAAAAATATTTTTTTTAACTATGGATTTTTTAACGTTTTATATGTTTTTATGCTTATTGGCAAGTAGCGTTAGACATGCGTTCTATCTCTCGATCTCTTTCATATTGCCCGGGGTAGCGTATTCTCACATCTTATACGGATAGATGTGATTGCCTATTTTGGTATGTCTACTTAACACAACCGCAGGCTGATTATTGACATGTTAATGTTTAATAAAATATTGAGAGGTAACTTGAAAACTGAACTCCTTGGAAATGTAGCTCTTAATGTTGTTTTATGATCCAACTCATCGTACAAACGTAACTTATAACAAATCTCTATCTAGAAGTAGCCGCAATTATTACTCCTTGTTCTGAAACATCCTGAGCTGGATATTTAGGTGACGATCTGTTCATATTTAAACGGAGATTGAAAGCAGCTTTAAATGCTTCATGATCTTGATCTCCATTACTATTTTAGTTATATATTTATTAGTTTTAAGTTTTTTACCATGTTCGGTCACAAATATTTATTATTTGTCACTTGTCTAGTATATACCATCAATTTTCTTGTTTTTAATATATAACTTGCTGTTGTCGCAAACTTGGAATGTCAACTGAATGTTATAATAATATCTTTGTATTAATATTTAAATACGTTGTCATTCTGATTTGTGATGCTATGAATAAATAAATAAATAAAGTAATGGTTTCAAAACAATCGACAGATTTAGGTCTCAAACGGAAGGCGAGAAGATATCAATTGTATTATGCATATTATAATTATATTATGTTTAATATTATATTATGTACATTGTCAAATACTTTCGCGTCTCGTCTGGTGAGTGAGGTAGCCGGAGCCCAATTTTCAAAAGGTTGTCAACGCATCTGAAACCCTCGGATGTGGCAGATGTCCATGGGCGGCGGTATTCACATAAAATCAGGTGAATCGTATGCTCGTTTGACAACTTTTCGCTAAAAAAAAATATGCATTGAGATAATTCGAAACTAAAATTATAAATAAACGCGATAAATCCGTAAAAACGTAAAAAAAATTCCTTGCTATTGTAGTCGTATTGCAAGCCTCAGCAATAAAGTTCCATAACATCGTACCTCGGAACTCGCAATGTGCTGCGTAATAAATAGCTTGATACGGTGAAATCTTTTCGACCCCTGACCGCATAGTGGGATAGAGTGGCAACCTAGCCAGCACTGCTATTAATGTAGCAGTGCTTAAGGAACAGCGATTAACGCCTCCCTTGTAGCACTCCCTGTTCCACCGCTGAGTGTGACAGCAAAATGGACTGAGCAATTCGCACAGAACTTTAAAAGCTTTGAGCTCTCTCCAAGGTATTGACTTCGGCATTGGGAGTCTCGGATTCATTTCCCACACGGGACAACTATTGTGTGACCCACAGACATTTGTTTCGCATCCCGGGTGCTTGTCCAATTAAAATTTATGTTTGTAAAATTTCCTTAGAGCACAGGATTACGTTACCGTAAAGCAAGGGCAACGTTTTAAAAAAAAT